GATGCGATTTTATGATAATAACGTAGGGGCAAACCGCTTCATGCCTGGGATCATGGAATCCTCAAAATATAGGAAGATTAAAACATGCCTCGATGATTCCATGTTCTAATTAAGCAATAGTACTCTATGTAGAAAATTTATTAATTGTAACTAAGTTAATGACTACTTAAGGAGTTGTATCCAACAGAAAAGGAAAGTTTAACAACATCATCTTCTAGCTTCCAAAGGTTGAATTTAATGCTATTAAGGCATGACAAACATTAAGCACTTATTGATTAGCAGACATACTTGGTTCTGTTTTCATTGTTAAGTTAGCAAATAAATATATGCTCTAAAAGGAGTTTTAACAAAACAGGCAAGAAAAAGGCAAGAAATAGAAGAAAGTAATAACCAGAAGAGATTGACGATGGTCGAGAGAGAGGCAAATCGGTATGGCACAGGTAAAAATATGGTACTGTGCATGGTGGGAAGAGGGAAAAGAACGAGGATGGTGAGTTTGGCGGGTCCTGCTTGCCTTTGTTTATGCTGTAGGAATTGTTTATATATATATATATATATATATATATATATAAATAATACCAAGAAGAGAAGTGTGCATGCCAATAAGAAATAACCCGTAGGTGTTATTTGGTAATCGATAATAAAGTGATAGGAATGAGAATGCATGAATCGAAATGGTATTTGTATTCCAATACTATGTTTGGAATACTAATAAGGAATTAGAATGCAATTTAAATTTTTTAATATATGATTTTGTATAAAAATATAAATAATGATTAAAAAATAATTTTATTATATTATAATGGTTACAAAAATAATAAAGGTGATAGTAGTGGTTCTAGTGGTGTTGGTGGTGGTGGCGGTGGCGATAATAATGGTGGTTGTGATTGTGATAATGATAGTTGTGGTGGTGGTGGTGGTGATTGTGATGATGTTAGTAGTGGTTGTGGTGGTTATGATGGTGGTTACGGTGGTTGTAGTGATGGTGGTGATGGTTGTAATGGTGTTGATGAAGAAGATAGTGGTGGTGGTGGTTGTGGTTATTGTAATGGTGGTGGTGGTGGTAGTAGTGATGGTGGCAAAAGTAGTTAATAGATAATAAATAAATAAAATATATTATTATTTTGAAAAAAATTCATTTCTATTCCTTGTTTTTTATTCCCACATCTTATGTGGGAATGAAGTTGTGTGTAAATTTTCATTCTCATTCTCATTCTCACTTCATTTCTTTTAACCAAACAGACTACAATGTGAAAATAAAACTTTCATTCTCATTTTCATCACTCTATTCCCGATTACCAAACAACACCCAAGGAAATGATGAAATTATGGTTGATCTTTTTATAATTATTGATGATAAGTCGGATTCTCAATTTGTTTGAATGGTTAGATAAATTTTTTTTTGCTTAACCGATCGCATGATGGAGATCTATTCTTGTCTTAAAATCTTATGGGGTGTACTTGTAAAACAATTTTTTTTTTTTAAAGTTTTGTAAGACTTTTCGATGTCTAAATTAGCATACCAAAGAAAGAATTTTTCCTAAATATGTTTAGTAATATATTTCTTTAGAATATATTGTCTAATTAAATTTAATAATATATTTTTTATTTTTTACGTGAAGAAAGTACATATCATTTGTTTTTCCGTATATGAAAATTTGAAATTGTTGTGCTTTTTTTTTTTTTTAGGGAGTCCATCATTGAGGTGGACGTAGATCTTCATTTGATGGGAGCACCAACGGTCTAATCGTAATCATTTGTTATGGAGGTTTTTTGACGGAGGAGGGTGTTGTCTTCCTCCAACGTTGTTTTCCTTGCCTTATGTATGTTTTGTGGAATGTGATGTTTGTAGTGAGATAAAAATTACTTCGGTCATAATCAATCGGGTTACTCGTCACGACCCGAAATGGCAAGCCGTGATCGGCACGTAGCCCGAGGTGGGGTGACCCACCACGAGCTACGTAAGCCTTAATCCTTTCTCTATTTCCTACGAAATTTTGACAACATTTCCCCTATAATTGGAGGGCCCCAAAAATAATATATATCCCGCATAAAAATCACAATATATATACACTTCCAAATCATCTTTATCAATTCTTAATCATCATCAAGTCCCTCCATTGGACATCCACACTTTCTCATAAATCTCAGTATTTACTAAATTGACTAACAAACACATAATCCAATATTTAACATAACAAAATTCATAAATCACCATTTAACCATCCAAATACAAAACACGAGAGACCTTTAACTAGCTATCCCTAGATTTGATGATGCTACCAACGGAGCAACTAAGTGAAATAAAATATATAATGACTAATTACAACTCCAAAATGGACAATGAGTACAAATTTGAAACAACCATGTCCTATACTCGGAGGAAGCAAAATAATATCCGAGTAGTACCTTCAAATCCGGAAAATCTATCATCCTCCTTCTATGATCTAGCTTCGTATCCGTTATCTAGCTTCTATATTATCTACAAAAAATTTAAGGTTGGGGGTGAGTTTTCAAAACTCAATAAGCATAACACATATTATAAATCGTTATACATATAATTATACCAATGCACCTATCATACATGATTTGCAACCAAGCAAGCAATCAATAACTTTTTCTTTTTCTTTCTTAACAATTAATAATAGCATAACAATTACTTGAAATCACTCTATGCGTAACTCGTCTATTCCTTTGGCTCTCAAAGGGGTAATTATGACCCCCACATGGGTAAATCGGCCCTCAAAAGGGTAACTATGGCCCCCGCATGGGTGAACTCGAGGGAAGCACTCGCGGCCATTCCGTAGCCGGCAATACTAGGTGCACCTAGGCTAACTATAACCCCGTTAGCTTAGTTAGTCATGCATAGATTTCTTTCAAGTCATCAATATCATTATTCTCATTCAAGTACATATCAATCACACAATTTCATTTAATGCAAGTGATCATCATATCAACATGCACATATACCATTCAATGTACCAATATTCTCTTTAATAACCACAATTCATATGGCAACATACCAATTCAATTCATTTAGCTTATAATAAGAACATCCATACTAAAATAATTTAACTCATATACAATTATTTATACTAATGAAGCATTTATCCATACAATCATTTTTTTTCACTTCACAAGTAATATATACATATATGATAATAAAAACTCATAATATGTGCTATACTTACCTCTAATCTAAAGGAACACCCCAAATTGTAATTATCTCTTTCTTAAGTAGCTTCTTCCACCAAATCCTCTCTTACTTCTATCATCATAAATTTACATTTATCAATAATAACAATAATTAGACACTAATAAATTAAAATTCAAGCTTAATTGGACCCTAATTAACCCATTCACTCACTTTTTCTAAATTTTCTAAACTAACATAAACCCTAATTTTAATCAAACCTAATCCATAATTCAAATTCTTAATTCAAAATAAAATTCACTAAATTACCTATAACCCATCCTAATTAAGGTTATAATTAACTAAAACATTCAAAAAAAATTCAAAAACTAACTTGATAAATCTTTTTCCTTCTTCCTTATTCCACCTCTTTTTATCCTCATTTTTCTTCTTCTTACCTAAGTCACTCCACCATTGCCGTCGTCGGAGTGGATGGTCGCTAACAGCTTGTCTCCTTTCTTTCCTTCCTTCTCTTCTTCTTTTTCTTTCTCTTCTCTCTCTCCCGTTCTTCTTTCCTTTGGTTTCTGCCAATTCTTCCCTTTTGTTTCTTTCTTTTCTTTTCTTTTAAATTACCCTAATGCCCCTCATTAAAAAACCCCATTTAAGTCATTTATTGGTTTTATGAGAATTATAGTTATGTAGGATATTTTCTATAGGTTCCTTGTCGAATCATCTTTTTAAATAAAAATTGAGTTTTTGTATTGGCCTATTATCTTAGAAAATATCAATTATTATAATCATTTTAAAATAATTTAGTTTTTACATCCAAATTTATTTATAATTGTAAAAAAATATAAATAACACGATCTCTACTTTTATTTTATTTTATTTTATGCTTTTTATATTATTACATAGATTAAGTTTATTTATTAGTGTTTTTTTATTTACTTTGAAAATAAAGCAAGGTAAAAAAGAAATAAAGGTGGGGACTGGCTAATAAGATGAAATGAATTGTTGGACTACCCGATTGAAGGAAAGAGCATGATGCTCTAAAATCTACCCGATTGGAGAAAGCGGATATGGTTAATGATTGATTAGTTTTGTGTTCTCCCTACGCATGAATTTATTAGTCCTAAAACATGCAGAAGGAGAGGTCAGCTAGTGAGACAAAGACTTTTTTGTCCCGAGAGACAAAGACTCTGAAAATGAAATACATAATAAATAAATAAACTGAACCACGCGCCAAACTCTCAACCACGCGCGCCCTCTCTATATAATACCATAACATTACATCTCCACCCCAGGCTTTGACTCACTTGGGTTCGACAAGAAAGCGGAGAAATTTCCACCGCCAATGTCCTTCCAACTTCACCAAACTCACGGTGGTGAAGTTACCAGGCGCATCACGCGGTTCAGCCGCTGCCGGGTACATACGACGAAGATATAATTCGTGTGCATCAACTTAATTTTTCGTTGTTGAGTAAATTATTTAAAATCTCTTGAAAGCAACACCGATGGTTTTGTTTCCTTTCTTTGGTTTTTACCTGACTCTTCTTTGAAAGTCTCTGAGTAGAGAAGTTTCTGAAGGAATATGGACGAGGAGTTACTCAGACAAGTGCCCACGTACGCAAGTATGTTTTTCCCTTTGGGCCAGGACGAGTAGTTAACTACTGATGAAATGAAAACAGTTTGTAGCTGTAATTGTTATTCCCTTCTAAATGCATTTCTTTGCGACACCGTTACCTGCACGATCCCCGATGTATACAAGGGATCGAGATGGGCACGGAAGTCGTGTTTTATTTGTTATTGAAGACTGAAGAGAGTACAAAATATTTGTTTCCTTTTTTATAGGTGGTTCTTCGAGGAAATGTTTGAAGAAGATGCAGTAGGAAAAATACGCATGATATTGAAAACTGTATGCGATCTTCATAAGTTGCCACTTGCTCTTACATGGGCTACCCACCGCGATCATGATCATTTGCACGTTGTGGATGCTGCTAACTATGTCAAAGATTCGTCGATGCAAGGATATGTCTCTGCATGTGGAGGAAATCGTCTCATGAAAGGTCAAAATGTTGCTGGCAAAGCAGTTAACTTGATGGGTCATCACTCAGTCCCCGATGTTTCTGTGCTTGATTTAGATGATTATCCATTTGTTGATGATGCGAGAAATTTTGGTCTTCGAGCTGCTATGGCAATCAGGCTAAAGCGCAATCGTAGTGGTAAAATTGAATATGTGTCAGAAATTTTTCTCCCCACAAACTTGGAAGATAAGGTGGAACAGAATAATTTGATTGTTGAAATCTTGTTGAGTTTGCGTAAGAACTGCGAGATTTCAGGGACCATGGAGTTGCAGATAGAATCACTTCCTCGTAAACAGGTGTGCCTCTTTATTTGTGTTATGTTCTTTCTTATGAAAACACTCTTGTTAAAATTAGCCTACTGGAACTTTTGTGAACTTTAGTACTTCTGGTTTAACTTGATTTCTGATTGATTTTGGGCTTCCACCGGGAAACCCTGTACTAAAATGACTCTTAGTTCTGTAAATTGTAGCTTTTTTCGCTGCACCATGGAATTGCTTCTGTTGCTCTACCTAGTCTACACATATGTGTGTGTATGCTGCCTCTGCTTTAGCATTTGGTCCTGATTCTCTCTGCTCTATGAAACAAATATATGAATAACATGCACGTACATTCCGCTCTTACTTCTGGTGAGACAATGAGGTGTGAATTCACCTTCATTTCTAGAAGTCTGGATCGGCGTAATTAATTTGTTGTAATTCAGGCGGATCTAATGCTCAATGTATCTGAGGAAGTTGAAGCATCAAACTTTCCATCAGAGGCTGTTTCTGAGAGCTCTTTGGCTTTTTCAAATGTTGGTTTAAGTTTAAAAGAAAAGATCCCAAGCAACAGTTTGGAAACAAATGAGCCTCATGAACAGGTATGTTTTGTCACTGTATCTTTGTTGTTTTTGGTGATAAAAGAATTCGTGTTCTTCAAAAATCAGTTTGTAATTTGTCAGCTTTCCATCATTTTGTTTCTGGTTCAATAGGCAACAGCGATGGAATGTGAATTATCTACACCGGAGAAGCAGAGTGACCAAACACAAGAGGTTTTGGTGCTTCTGAGAGCCATTAAGCAGAATTCTTCATATGGTGGTTTAAATTCAAACAAACAGATCACAGGGAAAACAGATGAGCCTAATGAACTGTGTGTTTCTTCAGTATGTCTTGTTGTTGTATTCCTTTTGGTTATGAAAGAATTGCACACTTACGAAATCAGTTTGTGCTAAATTGAGACTTATTTAGGGTCTATGGCTGTACCTAACTATACTCAAATGACTCTTGATTGCTGTTGGAAAAATGTTAAGAGAGTTAGGATGGCTTCTATGACATTTGTTCTCAGACATAATTCTACCAATTATGGCAGATTGGTATGTTTTGCTTTAACATGGGTAAATATTTCTCTTCCTCTGCCCTGTCTACATATCTACTGCCTGTGCTTTACCACTGTGTTGTGATAGTGTATACTATCTGAGACTATACAATAACCATATCGTGCACATTCCATGAAGCTTACGTAGACCGTTACTTGATTATTTCTTGATAGGAAGTCAGAGAACAAAATGCTGGAGGTGAACATGGTGTTGATGTCAATAAGCAGGTGGCAGAAATGCACGGTAGGCACCATATAATGAGCATTAATAAACGAAAAAGGAGTGGTACTCAGCAGACAAAGTGTACTCCTAAATCAAGAAAAACTACATCTGTAGTTTGGAAGTTTTTCAGTAAGGTTAAAGAAAATGGAGTGGTATGGGCCAAATGTCCAAAATGCAGCAAAATGCTCCGTGGAAATAGCAAGAACGGAACTTCAAACCTACTCAAACACAGATGTTTTAGAGATTGGGAGAAAGATGCAAAACAACAACCAGTTTCTAATGTTAAGTCTTCAACGACAAAAGGGGCCAATGCTCCTCCACAAACAAAGAGGAGAATGCTGGTAACAAAGGTAGGAGAAAGAGAAGAAGATAAGGAAAGAGAGGAAGAAGAAACGTCTAGTGATTGTACGTTAACTTTTGTAACTTCTCATCATCCCTTATCTTCTCTTTCTTAGTCTTACTATGCCCTTAATGACTTTACTATTATGTATGTTCTTGGTGATGAAGCAGCAATTGCTATTGCTATGGTTGAGGTACAAGATCCAATTAATCCAGACATTGTTCAAGCAGCAGCTTCTAGTCTAGTTCATGATGATCAGGTACACGAATTAATAGTACAAGAAGAATTTACTACAAAAGAAACACTTGGAAGTGATCTCAAGGATCAGAAGCATCATCTCTTATCTAGCCATATTAATATTACTGAGGTATTGTTTATAAAATCTTTCTCCTTTAGGTTTGTTTATGTTTATTTATTTATTTATTATTATTATTATTTTTTTTTTTTGCCATATTGGTTGTTGAAACAATCTTTTTGTAGCTACCACCAACTGAAACTCAAAGTCCTGGCCAACAAGCCAATAATATGACCATTGATAGTACTGGAGGTGTACATCAAAGTTCTGGCCAACAAGCCAATAATATGGCCATTGATGGTACTGGCGGTGTACCTCAAGCTGGATGCATTCAGATAGGGCTTACTGCAGAAGGTAATTTCGTCCAACAAAACTCTTGTACAACTCTTCTTTTAAACTAGAAATTACTTTGCTAAGGTTTTTTTTTTTTTTCCTTCCCATCTTTCAGGTAGTGTTACAAGCACAACTTCTATTCCAACCACCAATGGTTTTCCTGCTATTTCTGCTGCATCTGGACTAAAGAGTTTTTTGTCTCAATACCCCCGAATGTCGCACTCTTCTACTGAAATTGATAGGTTGTGCTCCCTTTCAGATGCTGAAATAAATGCTGCCAGTAATGAATGGGAGAAACCTCTAATGGGAGAGCTTTTTGCAAGAGTTCATAGGCTCAAGGAGGCAATTGCTACTTGCCCTTCTAGTTCACAACTAGAATCATCGCCTCTGCAAAGATGCGAGAATTTGGTCTCAACAATCTCCCAATCTATTATATCATGCTCTAACTTAGAAGCAGAAATTACCTCATTGAAGGATCAAGAAGCTCAACTGGAAGAGAAACGGAAGGCCATTATTGAACAGAGAGAACGCAAAGAATCAGAACTTTCTCAATTAAAAAAAGACAAGGCTGATCATGCACTGCAAAGTAGTCAAGCCACTGTTAATAGACTTAAGATTAAAAATATAGTAGATGGAATATCCGATTTGTTTGTCGAATGGTCGGCAGCTAGATTAGCACATTCTTCATCATCGAAATAAATGCTGATAAGTAGTAAATGTTCTGCTATAATGTTGTTCCGTCGCTTCCTGAGAAGCTGGATGTGAACCTTTTTCATTTTAACAAAGATCGAGGAGTCGAACAAGATTGAGGTTATAACTATACAGGAAGTTATGGAGATTGGTGCTGCTTCGGTCTATGCTCATCAGGTGGATCGGATTATTGAATTGGATTCGGCAAATGATACTGATTAGATTAGCACATTTCATAAAATTTAACAATTAGATAGAATTCTAACGTTAAGTGATCGATGTTGCAGATAAAAGAAAAGGTCTGGGATGAACTAATACTATAGCATATAATTTTAAATCTTTTTTTCATTTATCAAGAAACCTTTTCTCCTCTAATTTTAATCATTCACCTGTAAAAAAAGGAATATACAAAACATGCTTTGTTCTTGAAGAGAAGTAAAATTTATGTAACACTGTTTCCCTTGACAGACTTTCTCAAAAGCTTATGTTTTATAATCTGGACGAGGCCCGAGGCCCAAGTTAGTTAAGTCCAGTTCCTCTTCCGAAGCAAGATTATGGAAGTGTCATCAAAATTCAATTGCTGAATCTCTCTCCTTTCACCAGTGAATGAGTGATGATCCCTTAAAAATGAAAAATAATATATGTATTTGAAGGAAAAAGGATTTCCAACAAGTCATCGTATATATGGTCCTCTTTTTTGTATAAAAGAGATCAATTCATGAACGAAACTTGTATGGATATGAAAAACTTAGGATTTTTTTTTATTTATAAAAATCGATAAATTTAGATTAAAAACCAGTGACATGAACAAAATATAAAAAAAAATTTAAAAAAAAAACCTAGGAGAAGGTTGAAAATAAAATAACAAATGAAATACTATAAATATATAATTTTGAGTTAACATGTCTGATAATCTCAACAATTGGATTGTTCGTATATCTTTAATATTATTGATAAGACAATTCTACTCATGGCTGTTTTTTATTTTTTAATAGAAGAGGATATGGTTTTTTTTTTTTTTTTTTATGAGCCCTATTTTCTATGAATAATACATACTATGATGTAGGAGGAATTAATTTTTAAAATAAAATGATCCATAGTTAAATTGTTTTTTTTTTTTTATGTGATATCTACCGTGCAATAGCTAAGTAAAAATACATACTATAATCTTTTAACTTCTAAAGGTTCTTTTTTTCCCCAAGATATCTTCATCTTAAATTGGAGATAAAACTAATTCTATTCAGGACTAAAACGATTAAATTTAACATTTTTCAACAAATATGATTCTAGTATTCTCACTCTATATATTGATAGATATGACTAATTATATTGAAAAAAGAAGCAATATGATTTAATATATCTCAATAAGTGTGATTTTAAAATTTTAATTCTATACATTAATGAAAATTCTTTATTTCTTTATCACTGAACTAATAATTAATTAGCTTCTAAAGGTTCAATTTAATGAGATGAAGGCGTACAAACAATAAGCACTACCCGAATGAAAAAAAAAAAAAAATTCAACTCTAAGAGGATACGAGTAAATTATAAATTAGTCTCTCTTCTTTTTTAAAAAAATTAATTAATATCTCTAGTTTCAAAAACTAATTATTTAGTTTTTTTATCCAATATTAATCACAACTAATTTAATATGTTTTATTTTATAAAATATGTTATTTTATCTCTATCCATATTTTTACTTATTTTTTATTTTTTGTATTCTTAAAATAAAAAATAAATAAATAACTAAATAATTATTTTTTAAAACTAAAGGGACTAGTTAATTTGTTTCTCGAAATGGGAGGGACCAATTTATAACTTTCTCAAGAGAACACTAGCTCCAAAGTTCTTTCCAGATGAAATGGGTCCTACCTATCCAGTTTGTCCCAAGTGGGGGAGTAGGTAATAAGATCAAATGAATTGTGGGACGACCCGATTGAAGGAAAGGCAGGAATCCATGAAATGGATTGTTGGACTATCCAATCGGAGACAAGCTGACATGATCATTGCTTAATTAGCATGGGCTTCTTCTAATGCGTGAATTAAACTTATTTACACCTTATACAAATATAGCGAGTTAGTCTCTTATCATTAATGTTATGATAGTTAGATTAATTCTATCCTGTGATAGATATTAAATGTGGCCCATAGCAGGGAAAAGATAACCCAATAAGTACAATTCAATTAATCAGTGATAAGAATTATAAAAGGAATAATTGCACTGTAACGTTTTTTCGATCCAATATATAAATTTGAATTTTTTTTCGTTTAAATACATTAATTTTTCAAAATTACCAATATTTTAATTAATTTTTTTGCTAACTAATAATTTGTTCTCGTAGAATACCAAACTATAATTTTATTATTTTTTTTAATTAAGCATATAAACTTTATTTCTTTTCGTTTGAGTATACTAACTTTTTTTGAAATTTCTAATTAAATATTTTCGTCAATTTTTTCTTAACGGATAATGTATCAAAATACCAAATTATATTTTTTTTCTTTCTTTCGTCATAAGAAACTTTCTCCTTAAGTTATTTTATTATTTTAAAATTTGACAAGGAATAAAAAAAAGTTATTTTTTTAATTAATGAAATTCTAAACTAAACTCGCTTAAGCTTATTGTTAAAAAAAATCATCAATTAGGTTTTGAATGTAAAAGTTAAAGGAAATACAAACATAAGATGTTTCATCAAGAAACTTTATTTGTATTTATTTTCAAATCTCACTCCTAAATCTAACCGAGTTTTTTTTTTTTTTTTTTAAACAACGAGAACCAACTGAGTTTAGTTTGGATTTTTATTATACAAAAAATATTTTTTATTTTTTGTTAAAATTTGAAATAGTAGAATAATTTCGAGAGAAAGTTCCTTTAAACAAAAAAAAAAAAAAAGAATAAGATTATAATTTTGTATTCGAACACGTCATTAGTTAACGAAAAAATTAATTGAAGTACTTAATTGATAATTTTAAAAAAATTGATATACTCAAATAGAAAAAATTAAGTTCATGTACTTGATAGAAAGAAAAATGACAAAACTATAATTTGGTATTCTGAGAGTGACGAACGCGTCATTGGTTAACAAAAAATTGATAAAAGAACTTGATAGATAGTTTTTAAAAAATTGATGTGCTCAAATAAAAAAAATTAAAATTCATATGTTCTATTGAGAAAAAAATTAAAAGTTAATATACTTATAGTGCAGTTATTCCAATTATAAAGACTACATGCTACAGTAGTACCCAATTTGACTCCATTGATGAGTGAAACTGAGGACACCAAATGAAGATGAATGATGAGTTCTCTTTCAACTTAACTATGGGACTTAATTGGATATAACATAATAATTTCTATTTTAAGCTGTATTTGTTACGAGAAATAATTAGGAGAAGAAACAAAAAATGAAAAGGACGTGATTCTATTTATCTAAATTAGAAGGATTGAACATTATAAAGAGAAAAGAATGAGATCCAATCCATCTATATTAGGAGGATTGAAAATTATAAATAATAATGAAGAATATAGAAAGCAGCATTTGTAAAATTTTAATTTGAGGAGATTTCGTACAATTTTTAAAACATTTTAAAAAATTTGAAGACTTTGGATTGGATTGGATTGTACTTTCTTTTAATATGAATAACTACCATAAATATTTAGTTAGCAGGAAAGTTTTTGAGCAAAAATTTTTCGTTGACGAAATTCCAAATTGATTTTGAGTGAATTAATAAAAACATTAACATAAATTTTTAGGACACTTGGCAATATTTTATTGAGTAATTCCGTCTAGTTGATTCTAATTTATCCTCCTAATCAAATTGTTACATATTATAAAAGAAAAAAAAATTGAAAGAAAAATCGGATGGTCACTTCTTCTAAATGGATCTGGGGCAGATTTTTGGGGCATGCTTGCGAGAATTAATTAGATGGAGAGACAAGGCAAGAAATAATTGTTACAGCATGCAAAACTCATAATTCAAGTGGAAAATACCCCCCATATTTACCTCCAAGAACAAATTTGAAGCGTACAATCCCATTCTTTGTACTTGCCTAATAGTACTAAGGAAATGGGCACGATTCTTTGATTCATTGCATCATCTTGATAATCTTAAGATTAAATGAAAATTTGGAATGAAAAATCAAGGTTCGGGAAGTACAGATTTTACAAATTCAAACAAAGCAGACATTCCAGCTATTATATTGTCGATCTTAAGTTTACCAACAATGGCTTGATTGTTTTGCAATGCATGAGTCTGCATAACAGCTTCATTTTTTACTAATAGAGAAAGGTCTTGTTTTTTTTGCAATCTTTGCTTATATATGGCCTTCAGTTGCTCTTCCAATTGAGCAGCTTGATCATCCAGCGAGGTAATTTCTGCTTCTAAGTTAAAACGTGATCTAGCAGATTTGGAGATCGCAGAGGACAAATTCTCGTATCCTTGCAGAGGTGTTTTCAGTCGTGAACTAGAAGGACAAGTGGCAATCGCTTCCTCGAGCCTATGTACTTCGGCCAATAGCTCTATCATGGGATGCTTCTCCCATTCATTACTGGCAGCATTGATTGCGGCATTTAAAAGGGAGCAGAACCTATCAATTTCGCTAAGAGAGAGCAACACTTGGGGTGATTGAGACAAAAACCTTCTAAGTTGAGATGCAGCAGAAATAACAGAAAAACCAATGGTGGTTGGGATAGAAGAAGTTGTGCTTGTAGCAACAATATCAACTGGAACATGGAAAACCAAAAAAAAAAAAAACTCAGCCAAGTAATTTCTAGTTTAAAAGAAGAGTTGTACAAGGGTTGTACTAGATGAAATTACCTTCTGCAGTAGTGCATCCAACTTGAGGAATACCAGCAATGGCCGTATTATTGGGTTGTTGGCTAGAACTTTGAGTTTCAATTGGTTGCAGCTACAAAAAAATTGTTTCAACAACCAATATCTCAAGAAAAAAAAAACATAAACCAATTTGAGGGAGAAATATAATATCAACAATACCTGAGCAATAATACCAAATGAGAGATGATGCTCCTGATCCTTGAGACCTCTTGCAGTTGTTTCTTTTGTAGCATAATCATCTTGAACTGTTAACTCTTGTACTTGGTCAGAAGCTATATTAGAAACTGCTGCTTGACTGATGTCTGAAACAATTGTATCTTGTACAGCATCCACGACACTAGCAATTGCTGCTTTATCACCAATAACATACAAAATAATAAAGTCATAAAAGGCATAGTAAGACTAAGAAAGCGAAGATAAAGGATATTGAGAGGTTACAAATAACTTATCATACAATCATTAGATTTTTCTTCTTCCTCTCTTTCCTTATCTTTTCCAGTATCTCCTATCTTTGCTGCCAGCTTTCTCCTCTTTGCTTGTGTAGGAGCATTGGCTCCATTCGTTGATGAAGCTTTAGCTTTTGGGTTTACTTTAGTTCTGGAATCGACATTAGAAACTGATTGTTGTTTTGCATCTTCCTTCCAATCTTTAAAACATCCGTGTTTGTGTAGGCTTGAAGTTCCATTCTTGCTTTCCCCGCCGAGCTTTTTGTCACAAACTGGACATTTAGCCCATACCACACCATTTTCTTGAACCTTACTGAAAAACTCCCAAACTACAGATTTAGTTTTTCTTGGTTGAGGAGTGCCATTAGTTGGCTGAGTATCAGTCTTCTTTCCTTTATTAATGCTCTTTACCTGCCGTCTATCGTGCATTTCTACCACCTGCTTATTGCCATCAACACCATGTCCAACTGCAGCATTTTGTTCTTTGACTTCCTATCAAGAAAAAAATCAAGTAACAGTTCATCTAAACTTCGTGGAATGTGCATCATTTGCTTATTGTATAGTCTCAGATATTATACACCATCATAGCATAGTGGTAAAGCACAAACAGTAGACATGAAAACAAGGTAGACGAAGAGAAAAAATTTCCCAAGTTGAAGCAAACATGTCATAATTGGTACCATTATGTCTGAGAACAAATGTCTTAGATGCCATCCTAACTTCCCTAACATTTTCCCAACAACAATCAAGAATCGTTTAAGTATAGTTAGCAAGAGCCAGAGATCCACACATAAGTCTCAATTGAGCACAAACTGATTTCTGAACAGTGTAAGTCTTTCAATACCAAAAGGAATATAACAAGACATAGTGAAGAAACACACCTGTTCATTAGGCTCATCTGTTTCCCCTGTGTTCGGCAGAATGAACAAATTCATCGTGATCTCTTCATTTAAATTTTCGTTTAAATTCAAACCACCATTTGATAATGCTGAAGAAGAGCTCTCAGAAACAGCCATTGGTGAGGTGTTTGGCAACTCTGCTTCCTCAGACCCAACAGAGGACAAAGTCTCGTCTTCAAGTAATTCACATTCTGTCGCTGTTGCCTATTGAACCATAAACGAAATGATGGAGAAGCGACAAATTAGAAACTGATTTTTGAAGAACTCGAATTCTTTTATCACCAAAAACAACAAAGATAAAATGACAAAGCATACAAGTTCACGAAGTTCATCTGTTTCCACTCTGTTATTTTGGATCTTTTCTTTTAAATTTAAGCCAACATTTGTAAAAGCCAAAAAAGAGATCTTAGAAACAGTCGATGACAGAACGTTTGATGCTTCAACTTCCTTAGACAGATTGAATTTTTGATCCTCCTGAATTACAACAGTGATTACACCAATCTAGGCTTCTAGAAATGAAGGTGAATTCACACCGCATTCTCTCACCAGAAGCAAGAGCGGAGTAATTGTTTCATAAAGCAGATAGAATCAGGACAAAATGTTAAAGCACAGGCAGCATGCACATATAAGTGTAGACAAGTGAGAGCAACAGAAGGATTTCCAGGGTACAGCGAAACTAAGCAATAATTTACAGAATTATGAGTCATTTTAGTACAGGGTTTTCCGGTGGAAGCCCAATATCAATCAGAAATCAAGCTAAAACATAAGTACTTAAAAAGCTCACAAAAGTTACTTTAGGCTAAATTTAACGAGAGCGCTTTCATAAAACAGAACATAACACAAATAAAGAGGCACACCTGTTGATTAAGAAGTGATTCCATCTGCAACTCCATGGTCTCTGAACCCTCGCAGTTCTTACGCAAACTCAATAAGATTTCATCAAACAATTTATTCTGTTCCACGCTATCTACCAAGTTTGTGGGGAGAAAAATTTCTAACACATATTCAAATCTAAGAACACGCCCGACCTTTAGCCTGATTGCCATAGCAGCTAGAAGGCCAAATTTTCTCGCCTCATCAAAACAAGGATAATCAGCTAAATCAAGCAAAGAAACATTAGGGACTAAGTAACGGTGCATCGAGTTAACGAATTTGCCAGCACATGCCCTGACATATCCTTCCATCGAAGAATCATTAACAGCATCCATATATAGTAAACAGTCACCACCGTGGTGGATCATCCATATAAGAGCAAGTGGCAACTTGTGAAGATGGCATACAGTTTTCAACATCTCGTGTATCTCTGCTACCTCATCGTTTTCAAATATGTCCACGAAGAGGGACCTAAAAAAAAAAAAGGACAAATCTCTTCAGTCTTCAGTAACAAATAAAAGAAAACTTCCGTGCCCATCTCGATCCCCTGTATAGATGATGTCGGGGATCGTGCAGATAACGGCGTCGCACAGAAACGCATTTAGAAGGGAAAAAACAAACTGTTTTCATTTCATCAGTAGTTAACTTACTCGAACAGGTCAAGCATGGCGGCCTGAATAACTCTTCTATGTTCCTTCAAAATCTTCTCTACTCAAGCGTGATGAAAAAACCAAAGAAAAGAAAGAACACCATCTGGGTTGTTGACACCCAATTTATAGCGTCGTGGTATGTACCCGGAAGTATTTTTCTGGTCAAACTTCTTTTTTTTTTTTTTAAAGGGTCATTGCTTACTGGCATACACACTTCTCTTCTTGGTATTTTTTTATATATATATATTAAATACCCAAAAACTAGACTATTCCTGCAGCACAACCAAAGGTAAGCAGGACCCACCAACTCACTTTCCCTCCTCTCTATCCTCTTCCCACCATGCACAGTAACATATTTTTACTTGTACCATAGTTTTTTTTTAACACTTAATATTATTTTTGAAAAAAATTATTTAATAGTTGCAAAATAAATTACTCGAATTGCTTTCACTGGTTAGGCCCAATTCCGTTTTTTGCAATTATTAAATTTAATTTTCAAAAATAATTTTAAATATTAAAAAATTAAAATACTTAAAGCAATATTGTTTTGAACATTTCAGTTGATAGAGAAAACTTTACCATTTAAACATATTTATGAAAAACAAATTTGCTCAAAATAATATTAGTTTATGATCAAAATAAATCAAATTGATAATTTAAATTTTATTTTGCTAACCACAAATAGTTTCAGGATAAAATATGCAATTGAATCCTTAACAATGACAACGAAAACAAAATCAAGTTTGCCGTGTAAAATACTTGTATTGCTGATCAAGAAGCGCTTAATGTTTGCCATGCCTTGATAGCATTAAATTAAACCTATGGATTTAAGAAGATTCTAATAAACATGTTTACTAAACTATTGCACAGTAGAGATCACAGTTTTGCCAAAACCAATGTTTTTCTTTTTTAACGGTTAGATGTGTCTTTTTTTTACTAATTTACCTGTTAATCGAAATTAAATATTATTTTTAAAAAATTTTAATAACACAGTCTCACATCGATCACATGCATTCAAAGAAATAAATTATTCTGAATGTTGGTCTCTTAATGAGTTTAGAACTATAAACTAACAGAAATATGACTAGGACGAGCATTCTAGTTCAAATATAAATTTACTATTTTGGATTATCTATAATTTTTTACATTACTTAACTCAAATTTTTTTTCTTAAATTTATTGGGCCCAATTGAAAAATAAAGAGTATAATTATCCATTTTTTTTATTAAAAAAAAATTACAATTTACTAGCCAAAAAAAAAAAAATTACAAGTCCATTAATTATAGAACTTAAAATTAAAAAATATAATTAGAGTAACTTGACAAGTTTTTTACATTACCCAACACTATCAAAAGAAAAAATTGGAAACGTGTAAATCATAAAAATCGCAGTGGTTAGTCCATGTAAGAGCGAGTGGCAAATTATGAAGATGGCATACAGTTTTCAACATCAGGTGTATCTGTGCTCCCACGCCATTTTCTAAATATTCCTCAATGAAGCTGCAGCAATGGGAAGAAAAAAAAAAAAAACACAAATATTTTGTACTTTCTTCAGTCTTTAGATAACGGTGTAGCAAAAAAATGCATTTGGAAAGGAAGAAACAATTTACGGCAACAAATTTAACTCACTTGCTCAGGCCCAATGGGCAAGATGTACTTGCGTAAGTGGGGACTGGTCTGAATAACTCCGGTTCCATATTTCTTCATAACCTTCTTGACTCAGAGACTTTCAAACAAGTGTCATGTAAAAACCAAAGTAAAGAAAGAACGCCATCTGGGCTGTTTCCAAGGAATCATATCTTCGTGGTATACCCGGAAGTGGCTCAATCGGGTACTGCGCCCATGTAACTTTTTATTGCCGCCAGTTTGGTTAAGTTCAGAGGACACTGGTGGGGGAAAGAGTCAAGAACCAGAAGCTGGAATATTATTCAATAATCTCTTGCATTTGATATCTTTGTTTGTTTATTTATGTGTTTCTTTTTGACCGATTGAAGTAGCAGACTTTCAATGGGTGTAATGCTGGCATCCATTTGCAGAGTTTGCATTAACATTTTGATAGATTAAATGTTTAGGATATCTTTGTATTATTTTATTTATTTTAATAGTATCTCTTTATTTATTTTTTCAATAATCATGTACTTTTACTCTTAATTTATATTTTAATTTTGTCAATCCAGCTAGATTTTCTGATAATTAAGACAATTTTTTTACAACAGACTCACGATATGCTGACATGCAGCATTTTTACAAAACAAATCTGAAAAAAATTAAAAAATCCTTAAAAAAAATCTTTTTAAAAAATAAAACAAATTAAAAATGTCTCTCTTTTTCTCTACATTTATGTATAGAAATAATTAATTTCATCGTTAAGTTTTTTTTTTTTACTTTCTCTCATATTCAAATCAATTTTTTCTTTTTTCTTTTTTTATGTATAGGAAAGAACAGAAGCAAAATTTTCTTTATTTATTTCAGAAATTTATTATGAAAATTTATTTCAAATTCAAACACAAAAAAAAAATTATGAAATTTTTTTATAACATAAGAAGAAGAGCAAAAGGCACAAAAAAGGAGGGGCATTTTAGGGGGTTTTTTAATTTTTTTTTTTTGAATTTGAGAGAAAGTAAAAAAAAAATTGATAAATGAACTTATTTATTTATTTATATACGTAAAGATAAAGAAAAAGATGAGCACTTTGGATTTTTTTAATTTTGCTTCAGATTTTTTAATTTTTTCATATATTTTTTTTAAAAGTCACGAGTCAACATCTTGTAAATCTGTCGTCGAAAATTTATCTAATTACTGTAATTTTTGGCCGGATTGATGAAATTAAGATATAAATTAAGCATAGAAGGATATGATTATTGAAAAAATTAATAAAGCGATATGATTAATACAAAATAAAACAGTAAATAAACATCCTTAACATTTAATCCATGTTTTAATTAATTGTAATTAAGGTTTATATGAGCTATAAACTAAATTCGAGGAGCTTGTCTATGTGCACGGAAGAACATCTCAAAATTATTATTTTTAGGGTTATATTCCTTTTTTAAAATATTTTATTTTTATAAATGCATATTCTAAAAGTTCTAGACAATATATTAATAAAATAATAAATACCAATTTTTAATATTATCAATAAGTTTCCTTTTTATTTGTAATTCTGATTTATTTATTTTTTCATATGTGTATTTAGCATTTTATTTTTTGTAAATTATCCAACTCAAAAGTAATTAGTTCAATTTTCAATTGTACACACATGTGCCTGAGTGAGAATTTACAAATGAAAATTAAACATAATTTTTGTTATGTGTATCATTCAAAAGGTCAAAATATGTTACAAATAATAGTATCTTGATTTATCATAGAAAAAAGTTAATTTTAAAAAATTAAAAAAAAATCGAGTAAGTAGACAAATAAGAAAAAAAAATCAATATATGGGCTAACATGCATAAAGGCTAGGTGCTTCAAGTAATGGCAATAGTCACTCATGATCGGATTTTGGATATCTATATTTTATTCATTGTCTAAGAAATTTCAACGTTCATATTATATATATTACCTGTGGGATAAAGAAATTTAGATGTTCATCTTTTATCCAAAAATTATTTATTATTTTACATATATATACGGGGATCTGATTCAAATTTGACAATATTCATACCTTATTTATTATTTAATGAATAAAATTTTTAAATATTTATCTTCGATATGTAATAATAACTATTTATTAAACACACAACCTTTTACAAGTTTAAGAATAATATGAATTTTTTTTTCAAAATTCGGATTTTTCATGACCCCAAGCATAACGTGGTTCCGCCATTGGATTGGAATAACCATATCGGGTCCCTTCCTTCAATCGGGTAATGCATCATGAAACTAAATAATCGGGTCCTTGTGCACGCTATGAGCTAGCCAGTACTCAATGCGGGGCGTTTCACTGTTCTCTCCAACCGGGTAGTCCAACAATCCATTTCATAGAATCAGATGCCCTTTCTTTCAATCGGGTGATGCCACAATTAATTTCATCTTATTAAACATACTGAATAGGTAGTTCCCATTTTATCTGGAAAGTTACTTTGGATAAAAAACAAAAAGTTAATTTATAAATTAAAGCACTTGATATTTTTAGCCTAATTTTGGCTATTTAATTGCATTTTTTTACCAAAAAAAAATGGGTAATTAAATTTTCATTTTCGGATTGGGTCCAATAAATTCAGGAACATAAAAAGAATTCCAATTAGATAATGTAAAAAGTTATAGATAATTATCCAAAACGGTAAATGTTTTAATTTGAACTAAAAGGCTCATCCTAGCTAGTGATATACATTTCTATGAAGTGTTTGTATTAATACTAGCTAATGATATATGATTAACTTTTTATATTAGATTAAATTAAGGGTAATTTTGTCAAGTAATTGTCTTAGTATTTCATAGAATCATAAAAAATTATAGAGTAACACACAAAGGTATGTTTTAATTTATTAACAAAATAAATATACATATTTTGCTAGCATTTTCTTTCAACTTAATTAATTGTGTTTTTCCACCCAAAAGAAAAGAAAAAAATCGGATAACTATCAAAATGATCTATTCTCCAAAATATTATTTACAAATTTGTTACCCAAATTAGTTTGGTAATTCGAGTGATTTGAGTTTTTTTCTCTAATAGTGCTCAACTTCACTATGTTAACTGTCTTCATCTTTGAAAAACCTTCAAAGACTTATTGGTTAACGAGCAAAAACACTAATTTTTCTAAACGATTTTATCTATTTTATCCAACCCGCAACATAGAACATGTAAAAAATCTAATACTATATACTAAAGAAAAATCATTTTTCACCGTAGCAATGGACAAGTGTTAATCATTGTTCATTGCTATATTACTTTGGCTTTTTTTGTTTTTTAAGTTTTTATTTTTTTTTTGCCAGCACTCGCTGGCCTTCCCCCCTTTTTTTACCCGTTTATTGTTTATTTGAATGGTAAACGGCTTGCCCTCTTTTTTTTTTCCCTC